GTGGATGATCTGAGGGGGACCCCGATGTCGGTAGGAACCTTGGAAGAGATCATCGATGACAATCATGCCATTGTGTCTACATCTGTGGGCTCAGAACACTATGTCAGCATCCTTTCATTTGTGGACAAGGATCTGCTGGAACCAGGCTGCTCAGTCCTGCTCAACCACAAGGTGAGCTGCTGGTCTCCGAGGAAACCTGTGGGAGTTGACTTTTCCACTTCCCTCCATCTACCTGTCCCATGATGTGGATCACCAGAGTGCCCCTAGCGGGGAGAAAGATGCTTTGGATGGTGTGTTTCCTTGTAAACAGACTGAGGGGCCCTCGTGTTCTGTGTTAAACCCTGATGTTCCTTGTTAGGTGCATGCTGTGATTGGGGTGCTGATGGATGATACAGATCCTCTGGTCACAGTGATGAAGGTGGAAAAGGCCCCCCAGGAAACCTATGCCGACATTGGTGGGTTGGACAACCAAATCCAGGAAATTAAGGTATGGCTGGGAACCGGTTCCAGGGTTTTAGATTTTGGCTTCTTGTTGCTGTCCCATTTAGGGTATTTGGAGTTGGTTTGTTTGTCTTCATTGATCAGACGAGTGACTGACTCAGAGCTTGTTTGTTACAGTTTGTGTTAATACTGTGCTCAGTAGTAGAAATAACAAGTATATGATAGTTCCTGCCACAGCAGCACTTATCTACTGTTATATATAATATTCGTTGAATTGTCTGTGTGAAGACATGATGTGTCCGGTTCAGCTGTGGTTATCTAGAAACACCCAGTGTTGTATTAGAGTAGCATGTTTACCTGCCCATGCTTACACAGTGGTAGGTCTAGAACATAATCCCAGTCTCTATATGTAGTTTAACACATTCCTGCCAGCTTGACCCACCAGCGATACATGCATAACTGTCCCATTGGGCAGCATGGGACAGTCCTGTCGGGTGGTACATGCCACACAATGAGACATTCATGGTGGTTAAAAGGTGCCTGACAGCAAGACGGATGAATTACAGCCCCATTGTGAATGTGTTAAATGAAAAGGGTAGGTTTTGTCTTTCTTACATTACTATTGCTCAAAGCTGACTTCTGCAAAGTAGAGGGGACACTGGGTCTAACGTAGAACAGATGGATGCTAGAAGCTCAAGTGGGACCTTGTATGTCCTTGGTGCTAATGAAAGTCAAATGAACATTGTAGGGAGAATGAGATTTTCACTTAATTTTGTTGATACTCTCATGATGTCAAACAGTGCTCATAATTTGAGAAAATCTTTCATTTTTACCAAGTGTTTCTTTTCTGTAGGAATCTGTGGAGCTTCCTCTCACCCATCCTGAATACTATGAAGAGATGGGTATAAAGCCTCCTAAAGGAGTCATTCTCTATGGTCCACCTGGCACAGGTATGCTCTGCGTTTGACATTCTACAGGCCCTCAGCCCGTATCTTGAGCAGCCGCATTCACTGGTTGGAATTACTAAAGTGTCCACTGAGGACACAGTTTCTTACTTTAAAACAGGTGCTCAGGGGCTGGGGGTGTACCTCAGTGATGGAGCACATTGCTTAACATGCATGAAGCCATAGGATCAATCCCCAGAACTCCTTTCTACACCGAAAAAACCGAAACAAGACAACAATGACCAAAACCAAAGTAGGCAGTCTAACTTGGCTGTAACGTGTGCAATGGAATCACCATGGGAGCGTTAAAAAATACTGATGTTTGTTCTGTGCCCAAGGACTGATACATTTGTCTGCAATGTAGCCAAGCCTTCAGATCCATGGTGGAAAACTGCTATAAAAGCTATCCTGGGGTATTCAGATAAGGTTTACTTCCCTGGCAGAATGGCCCTGAAGACATATTTGATGGATGATGATAAAGACAAACATATTTAATTCACTGTAATAAGCTGATTTAAGTTACAGAGAGCAGGACCTAGAATATAGTCATTTGCCTGAAAGATTGAAACTGTTCCTGAGGGTGTGCTGATTTGTGCTGAGGGCTGCCCACCCTAGAAGCACTGGGGGGCACACAACTGGGAGGCCTGTGCCCAGTAGGATGGCACTAGGAGAGACCAATACTGCAGCTCCTCCTCTTCTAGCTCTGGAAGTTAACCTTTCAGAAGGTGATGACTGGTTCAGGGCTTCATTCTCTCTGGGTGTTTAGCTGGTAACTGGATGGAGCTGGAACCCAGGCCTCCTGACCAAGAGCCACAGGCCTTCTACAGGAGTGCAGCACTGGGTGGGCAGGCCCTTCAGAGGAGCGGAGACTTGTCCAGTGATTCCTTGAACTTTGAAGCAACCCAGCAGCTGGTTTTGGCAGCTTCTGGACTGTAAGATTCCATGCACATGAAAGGGCCTTTTTGTCTTTTCACCCCACCCTCTGGGTGTCATGCTGCCTCCTAAGACTTCACCTACCACTCTCCTGTCTGACTGAAAGGAACATCATTGCCACATGTTGCAAAGCTTAGCTATGTCCTCACTCTGGAGGCATAGTCACTCCCTAGCCAGCCTTCTCCTCCCCTTGCTGGCTCAGGTTCCCAGTTCTGCCTCAGACGCCTCTAGTTGTGGCATTTCCAGAGCCCTCAGGCACGTCCTCATGCACCATCAAAAAGGTCAAGGTCTTCCAGGTCTAAATTTCTCAAATTTGGTGCTCTTGCCTTTTTGTTTTTTATCCTGAAAGAAATATCAGGGAACAGAGCAGCGTTGAAAATGTTATTTAAGATCCTCTTGAGATCAGTGAGAACTCCTTGGCCCTTGGAAGTAAGTGCACACCGCAGACTAGATGAGTCTCTCAAGCTTTCCATACTTCTCATTTGTGGGCTCCACCGAGAGCTGCTCTTCGCTCAGGTGTCTGGCTTGGGAGCGTATCCACCCAGGAGTTCCTCTGTTGCTAGCGGGGCTGTGTGGCCTGCGCAGCCTGTGCTCAGGACCACTTCCTGTGTCCTCTTAGAGTCAAAGCTGCTAGGATTCCCAGACTTTATCACTGATAGTTCATAGTTTACTTGGTTCTCTAACCTTGAGTTGGAAGGGTCAGGTTAATTTTATGCTATGTGATCAAAAAATACAGTGAAAGTTTGGGGGGAAATTTTAAAATTACAGTAAGACATTTTGCCATTAATCCCCCTCAAAATACTATCCTTTGCTTCTAACACATACCACAGTTACAATAAAACATATTGCCATCCATCTCTGAAAATACTTCCCCTCACTTCAAATACATTTATCCCATCATTCCTGGCAGTGTCTTTTTTTTTGGTGCCAGAGATCAAACTTGGGTCCTTGCACTTGAGAAGCAGGCAGTGGAACCACTAAGCTAAATCCCTGGCCCGATGTGTAAAAGATTGGTTTTTTTTTTTTTTTTTTCGGTACCAGGGATTGAACTCTGGACCTTGTGCTTGCAAGGCAGGTGCCGGAAACAGTGAGGTAAATCCCTGGCCCTGTGTTTCTTTTTAAGATCAAATGATCTGTGTCAACCATGGTTTTTTGGGACAGGGTCTCACTGTGTAGCCCAGGCTGGCCTCAGATTTGCTGTCATCCTCCTGCCTCAGGATCACAGGCATGTGCCACCATACCTGGCCCAACTCTATGTCTTCATTTTCCTTTTCCTGTTTGTCTTGCTCTATCGTGTCAATTTCCTGTTTTCTCAGTTCTTTTCTCACGTAGAGCCCAGGGTTTCATGCAGGAGACAAATAGGTGGGCCTTCACAGGAGCTGGCTGGTACAAAAGAATGTTGAGATCAACTGGGATCTCTACAACTCTGATTTCCTATAGGAAAGAGCATGTATTCCAAACAGCAAGACCACCCCTTTTGGGCTGGAATTCTTAGAGAATTATGGAGGGACTTGACCATATTTTTAGAATCAAAATGTTTTATTCAATTTAACAACAACAAAAGTACATATAAAGAAAAATGCTGTGACAATTGGTTTCCCAACCAACTCTACGTTCCAGTCTGCACATGTCTACTCCACAGGGTAGAAATGTTAAATTCTTTTTATCTTGTTGAGTCACAGAGGTGGTCATGTGACATCTCAGCAGTGAAACAGAATGAGGAATCTGGGAAGATGTCTGGGAAAAATGCTTTCCTGATTAAAGGGACAGATGTGGCTGCTACTCCCTATTCCTGCCTTTTTCCTGACTTCTGTACAGCAGATATCTGAAATTGTGCTGATCTGTTTATGACCATAAAGGGTAGGTGAAAACCGATCAGAAATGTGTTGAGTGTTAAAACGGCGCCATCAGATGGCAGTCTTCAGGCCTCCTGATCTAGAGAAAACTAACCCCCTATTTGATTAATGTACTTTTAGTTGTTGGAGCTGCAGGCATGCCAGTGATCATCTGGAGGTAAAAAGGAGCAGGCATGGGTGACCTGCTGTATTAGACTTTGGAACCCAAGGACCAACAACCAGATGTAGCTGGTTAAAAAAGTGGAGTAGTAGCTAGCCTGACCCCAGTCCATAGAACACCAAACCCAGGGCTGAGGGGTTTGGAAAGGAGAGGGTGATTCATCTCCTAAGTGGAAGGTAGACCTGGAACTATTGCTGGCCTTTGGTGAATAAACCAGTTCCAACCAGGAACAAATTTCAATCAAGGAGGGTAATAACCTACCTTTTCCCCCACCATCCTCCTTGTACTCCTTGACTGGTTATTCTCAATTATCCAATATTCCCCCATCCTAGCCATAGGCTTGTACCTATTCAGTTACCACCCCATCCTAGTGGTTCCTCAGTTTCGCCTCAAGCAGAGTCAGTAGGCCAAGAAAGCACTATCAGCAATGACAGGTCATGGATAAGTCTTAGAACTGGGCTTTCTGTGGAAGTTACAGATACTCAATAGGAGAATCTAGGACAACGATGGCAAACCTTTTAGAGCTTTCAGTGAAACATCTGACTGCAGCATGTGTGCCATAGGTGTGCCACAACTAGTCTAGAAGAAACTAATAATGCACTAGGACTTCTGTAAAACCACAGGAGCATGGAGGTGCACTAGCAGGCCTGCCAGTGCCCATTGTAGGGATCCAGCTTGGTATGACTGTGGCCATCTTGAGCCATGATTCTGTGATTGCCCCTGAGTAACCCTGGTCTTTTTTCTGTTGAACTGTTTTCCAGCATCCCACAAGTAAGCCTTTAGGGTGGTATGTAGGACTTTATGATTTTATGACTGACTGGTGCATGGCACTAGGAATGTGCCCGAGGTCTCTGATGTTAGCTTGGGTACATTCCCAGTTTGAATGAGGGTCACTTTTGTCCTGACCACTTAATTATATAAGGGTTTCCCTCTGACCCAGATTGCAAGGGTCCACTCGTCTTACTGCCACCTCTGACGTGCTTCTGTTAGTCCCCAGTAAATTTGCATTCTGTGTAATCCTGGCTCTGTTTGCCTCTTTCTTTGGTCTTATGCCATTAGGTTCTGGGATACTCACACACCATGGGACTCTGGAGATAGGTGAGAAACTGTGGTGGGAAGAAATGTCTGCAGTTTTCATGAAGTGTTTAAATGGAGAACTTCTCAACAAAATACAGGACCATTCTCTGAAATCATAAAAACCATCATAAGGATGTCTAGTGTCTGTACAAAAAAAGCATTCTCCCCAGGGATGTCAAGCCCCTCCAAAAACTCAGTGTGCTGCCTGGGGCTGGTAGCGCACACCTGTAATCTCAGCACACTAGGAAGTTAAGGCAAGAGGATCACAAGTTTGAGCCCAGCCTGAGCAACTTAGTGTAGGACTCTGTCTCTGGAAAAACAATAACAACAACAATGTGTTCTGAAACTCAAGAAATTTGACCAAGAAGCCATGAGCTACAACTTCTGTTCACTCCCCCACCACCACCCCCAGCCCTACTCTATTAGCTCCAGGGAAAGTCTGAGAAGACCTCTTTTGGGGTTCGTGAATGTCATTATGTTACTTTCCAGTCCAACTCTACATTGGCGTCTTTCTCAATCTGAAGATGTACAACCAAAGTGGAACACTCTGAATTTCCTTATCCTAAGATGTTAGAGGAGAGAAGTCATGATATTCACCTGGAACCTGCTAGAAATAGCATGCTCTTAAAGAGTGACCATCACGTGATGTATGAACTAATCCTGGGTCATGCAATTAATAAAATTCCTGTAGACAAGTACCAAAGTATTGTCTGTGACAGTTCACAAATGGTTTGTTAGCAGTTCAAGCAAGATAAGTATAGTAATTATGAGCAAATGTTGAAAAAGAGCATTTGAATGTTACTGTGACAACTAGCATGTGATTTTTTATGTTTTACAGAAGTATTTTATATTCTATAAAAGTATTGAACATGAAACCCCAGCCATCCACCACATGTAGTGTGAGGATCACCCACACATGTGGGGTTTGGTTGCTTGACTTAAAGCAGGTCTCATGTTACGGGCTTTGAATTTCCAGATCTCTCCAGCCTCCGAGAGCCTTGGAGTTCCGTAGAAGAGCAGGAAGACTCAGCGGGACCACATCACATAC